TGCTTTTATATTATATTATATAGTAGACACAAGTCTTTTTCTTCAAGTAAAATACTATAATAAAGTATTTACTCTCAATATATTTTTGTTAAAATATATCTACTCAATATTTAAAGCTATTATAATACATATACTGTATTATATTCATTAATAATACTTTTAGAACCTTTATAAGATGTATAAGAATTATCTTTACTTTATAAACTTATTAAAATTCTTACAGTTACTATATAATTTATAAATAATGTGTATTCTACTATATAAGAACTATAAAGCTATATATAAGAAAATGGACTTTTCCCTGACAGAAGATGCATCTCTGACTTAATGAATGCCTCGAGCTTCTTGGACTTTTCACTGGTTTCCTCTACGCTCAGGCCATCTCCAGAATTTAATAAGTAGGACTTGTTTGCAATGACAAGACGTGCTTTCAAACTAAGACCTTGCAAATACACCTCTAGTTCATCACACAGGACTCGAAGTCCTTGCTCATGGCCAGGACCGGAACAGTCGACAACATAGACAAGGGCAAGGGCATGCTCAACGGATTGTAAAAAGGAGTACCCCCCGGGCCGAACCAACATTCTCAGGTGCATGTGAGATGAGACCTGGATTATTCGCAACGGTGAAGCGTCTTCCTCTGCGTTGACTGAGTCAGACTGCAATTGATTTCGAGTGAGGCGGGTTCACCACTTTCCATTTGCTCGTTGAAATGCTACTCTTCGACCTTCGTCTCATCGATGATTAAATCCTTCCCCTCCCTGCCGAGAATGTTGCCCTCTGCGTCAATGCATACCACTGCGGCGGAAGGATTACAGCCATTTGCAAAAGTAATGGCAAAATTTGAAAATCATGTAATTTTTGTCATTTGACAGTATGTATTTGAAAGAAAAAAATTAAATCTTAACAAATACTGAACCAAATTCTATCATCGAAGTGGTAAAATTTTTGGATAGAAAACAGCTTTCATTTACAACAGTCATGAAGAGATTTGGTCTTGAGTTGACTGAAATATAGTACAAAATATCTGGTTTTTTCATATGTTTTAAGTTCTGATTTTTTCCTAACTCTGAATCTGATTGTATAACACTATAAACTGGTATTAAAGGATTATATAATTTTATTATGAGTTTGCATACTGATTTTGAGCTGAATAATTTAGTATATATATTGGTTTTATATTTACTTAAATTTGTCAAAATCAAGTATTTTTTCTGGCCTCTCAAGACTCAGGAAAATTTCTTCTGAGCAGTATTTGTACATGTAAAATCATATTAAGTGTATTAGAACAGAATTAATTTCTTATAACAGCTACAGTATGAATTTCTAAGCTGAATTAAAATAAGTTTAAAGCGTGGTCGACATGTCGGATCACGTGGTTTACTTGCGAAAACAATGCGAGCAGCGAATCCTTTCCTCCTGACTCAAGTTATCACGACACGCTTCTATATTTCGTTATCTCAAGTGACTATCCAAATCTAAAATAGCCATTCTCCACTGTGTCTAATCTAAGAATGCAAAAGAAACGTGAGTCGGACTATCGGAACCAGGACTGATGTATGGGTGACGTCAAAACTCCATCATCATCAGCATTACTTTGGTATATCTAGAATGCTGCTGAAACAGCGTCATTCCTACACACCGCCATGGCTACCTTAAACACATCCCGTGGTCTAAAAAATCTAGCTGGTTCACTAGCTCGATCTCGTCTAGGAAGTCTCAAAGCAGCATGTCCTTATGCAAACGTTCACCGTGCAAGGCTTTTTAGCTCAACTGCTCAAGCGAAAGAATTGAAGGCTGGAGAGACCTCAGCCGACTCGCCGTTCTCGTTTCTGCCTTCAAATGCACTTGTCCCAAAAAGCGGGCGGGGAGAACGCAGCAAGGGATTGACGGAGATTCGCGGATCGTATTACAACCCAGTTACATATACATACCTGGATGAATTACTTAGCGATTGGGGAGGTAAGTATAGGTGATTCTCAGTTATACTCCCGCTGAATATCGTGCATCGCAACAGAATTTGTTGATGGTGTAAAGGTGCGTCACTTCATACGGCAGATATTTTTAGAGACGGTTCTGAGACTGCATTTAGTTTGCTGGCGGTGCCTTTAGTTTGATGCCTCCATCGCGTTTGAAGCGTCTTATGGACATGATTCATTCTCATGATGTATACGTGTCGACTGGTGGCTTTGTGGAGCGTGTGATCGCATCGTCAGGCGGCAATACGAAGATTATCGGAAAATATCTTGAAACATGCAAAGAAATGGGGTGCGTGTATATACAAAATACAGGCTGACTTCCATTTAAACTGTATTCTCACTTCAGATTCGACGTTTTGGAGCTTTCGTGCGGTTTTCTGTCCCTTCCGACGGACGATTGGACTGCGCTCGTCAAGCTTACCAAGTCCATCGGACTCAAGCCGAAACCCGAGATCGGGATTCTCTTCGGAGCTGGTGGTGACACAGAAGGTCTTGAAAGCAAGGGAACGCGTGACCCACGCTGGGTTATTGAGGTATATCATCAATATTATGAAATAATTGTAATTTCAAGTCTGATCCACTCCGTTAGCGTGCGGAGAAGTTCCTGGCTGCGGGAGCTGACAGAATCATGGTTTGTCGACAATTTTGTTCATTGAGTTAATCTTTATCCATCTGTTCATTGCCACTAGATTGAATCGGAAGGCATTACGGAGAATGTCAAGGAATGGCGCACAGATGTCGTATCTTCTCTGACATCCGCTCTCCCGGTGGACAAGCTCATGTTTGAGGCTGCCGAGCCGGCTGTATTCGCGTACGTTACTGTGATATTATGTATTAACTATGCAATATTCAATGATGTTTCTTTCAGTTATTACATCCAGACTCTTGGCGCAGACGTCAACGTGTTTGTGGACCATTCACAAATCGTACAGCTTGCGTGTTTGCGGAAGGGCATTTGGGGAACAAGCGACCTATTCGGACGAGTCACGACATTCAAGCCAAAGCATGACGGTTGAGAATACGGGATAAGAGTCGTAGAGATAACAAAAACCGTCCTTTAGTATTATATTTGTTTGTATGTTGTACGAACGTATGCTGGTATCAAAGTGCTCCGTTTACGCAATTATGATGACGTCAGACGAAATTGATTGACTTTTTAAAATGTGCATTGTGCACGTGAGCAACATCTTGACTTCAACCAACTCGTCTGTGCAGCTAGTTTACTCAACGCGTCATCTGGCAAAGTCATTTAGCAATCGAAATGTCAAATGAACAGTCAGATAGCAGCGTGCACGAGAAGTGGATGGCAGAAGCACAGGTCATGGTAAGGGCACCTGTACACTTTGTTTGCTTCCGTTCATTGGAGAAACTCATTCCACACTAGGCGGAGGAAGCACTGACAGCAAAGGAAGTTCCTGTTGGGTGTGTATTCGTACGAGACGGTGTTGCCATTGCGCGTGCACGCAACAGGACAAATGAGCTACGGAACGTGAGCATCATATGTTATTCATCCATTCATTGCGCATATATTCACAGATCGATACTATATTTTTGGTACTCAAAGGCAACTCGTCATGCTGAGCTCGAAGCTATTGACTCCATTCTTGCCTCGCGCGAGTTAACACCAGACCCCAAGGAGCAACACCTGTTGTGTACAACGACACTTTATGTGACTGTCGAACCGTGCATCATGTGCGCATCTGCCCTTCGTCAAATGGGTATTGCTGCCGTTTATTATGGCTGCGAGAATGAGCGGTTCGGTGGATGTGGAAGCGTGTTAGGCGTTAATGAAGGGTATGATATTGAGGATCGTTTATTGTCCTTTCTTTGGATTTCTGGTAGTGTTCTTGTTATGCTCATTGCTGATACTTCCTTTCTCCCTTGTAAGGCTAAGGCATCCGAAGCATCCCTCGTACAAGGCCATTGGTGGGTACGGCCGTGAAGCCGCCATTATGATTCTCCGACGGTTTTATTTAACGGAGAATGTTAACGGTGAGTGCTGGTTCTTCTCGAGCCCTTCCATCGAACATATTCATGCTGAATCGCATGACAACGGCTCTGTCCCATATGTCATCTCCGCCGTAGTAGTCACATAACAAAGAACTCACCATTATTCCCCTTTCAGCGCCCATTCCAAAGAACAAGGCAAATCGTGTACTCAAAATCGAAATTGCCGATCCGAAAGTGGACTTAAGCTCGAGACCAGAGACATCAACTGCCAACAGAAACGAATAGACCTAACTATATGTGCACTCAATTGCACAAGTAGACTTGTCCGTCCAGATGATCGCAGTTCTGAGAACCTTACCCGCTCTTTGGCATTCATTTCACAAGCGCGTCTACCTGCGGAACGTTACGAAGGACAGAAGTAGCGAGTGCACGAAGTTCTTCCCATACTCTCAACTACTTTGGCTCTTCTTGTTGTTTGGACATCACATTGACGACTTGACCAGTCTTTGTGTCGTCACAAGGTCGCCGACTTTGCATCCGCCTACAAAGCCCGGATTTTCTTTGTGTGCAACCAAGTCGGTTTTAGAACCTGCCCCAAAAGTACGAGTCATTTCTACGGAACGAAACAACCGAATCCATCGCTTAAACTGCCCGAAAAGTTTCATGTTACAAGCTTTTTGAAGTATAATCTGCCGAATTCGGGCTATCGAGTCTATCGTACTATCTCACGGCACCATCACCAAACGATAACTCGCGATGGGAAGCCGCCTATCCTGCATCGGAAAGAACTTATTTCTGCGATTGCATCAGGAAGCAGACACACTAGACTTCTCGAATATGCGCGAACAAGAGGTATGTGGTTAGAAAATCCTTTTGGACTACTAAATTGTTGCTCATCGCTGTGCAAATGAATGGACTGATGCTCCAATCACTCTAAATTGCGGTTTAGCGTCTAGTCTCACATTCTGTGTTGGAACAAATGTCTCCCATTGCCGTCCGTTCAGGCACGTCAGCTGCTGATCTTAAGGCATGACATCTTTCATCACCTTGGCTTCGAAGGAGCAAAGATAGTGCAACGACCGAGCTGTACACTCATTCACATAGGGTCAGCTGCTTTTCGTTCCTGATGAAAGGTTATGGACGCGTATCCACAACGAGAGATCGATCAAGCCGGCGGGGGAACAAGCGGAGAAGGCAGATAGCGCATTCTGGATGGCGAGGGTTCCGATCTAATATGCGAAGAGGGTTGGAAATGATGATGTATATCGAGGAATACGGCAGGAGGAGGATTCGAATTCTCGCGGAGGGTAAACATTAGTAGTGTAGTCATAGGGAAGCCTGTGATCTGAATAAAACGGAGATGAGATGGCGATGTGAGATGGGGGCGAATCATGGCCGTGCCTCCCGGGTCGCGGCACATTGGCGAGGATAGGATGGATCATCATGGGCTGGGTAAGTTATAAGACAGGTGCCGAAGATACGGGATGGGCCCCTGGCGAGCCTCGCCAGCTCCATTTGTTTGTATGCCATCGCGTTACTTCCGCTTGCCACCGTCGTGTGCGCGCTCCCGATTCCCGCCCACACCGCTGCGTTTCTGCCTTTTTATTCATGGTGCTGCACAAAGTGCCTGTCTGGTTCCTGTGCAGGATGGTGGGAACACTCGCCACAGGGTGACCGTGACAAGCCCTTTCCTAATTCGCTGAGCGATGTCACTTAGCAGGACGTGACATCCCCTCTCCAAGCTGGAGGCCCAGTTGGCATCCCCATCAACGTCTCCGGAGTCGGCAACAACAGCGAGCAGCGCACACACTTGCTCGTCTTCGGCCGCAGCACTCGCGAGTCTCTCTTTCCCTACGTCTTTTCTCGGGCCACGGACGACTGGACCGGCAAGGGAAGGAAACACAGTCGCAGCAGCACTCTCGTTCTGGCAACAACACATTGACACGGGCCAAGCCCATCACGACGCCCCCTCACGTCCCGTCAATTTCCACCTAACCGCACTTTTTTCTCGAACCGGGTGTCCGCACCGCCTCTCAGCTGACTGTCATATTGGCCTCAAAATTTTCCCAAAGCAGATTGTCGTAATCGAATCCGAAACACGGAAGAGACGACGACGCGGACGATCGACTACCGCCGGGTGACCATCTCCACCCCGTATCAGTGCGAAGTATCTGCGAGTGCGTGCCCACACGTACATACAAATACACTTGGTTATACAATCATATACACGCGCGCACTTCCCTGAGAAACGGAAGCCGGTTCGCACTCTCTGCTCGAGACTTCGCGCGCGTTCGAGCACCACCACAGGAACGGGCTCCGCCAAGAAGGCATGCTCGGCATCCAGCAAACTCTGTCCGCCGTACCGCACCATACGACGAGCCACTCACCAGCGACAGCCGCCGCCGCAGTAGCCGCCATCAGCGGTCCCATCAGGACCCCTCCTAAAGGCAAACGACAAATATCCTTCGTGCAGAAGCAACCTTCCGACACGGTGTCGCCCACGCAGGAAGAACACGAGCCACTTGCGGCTGTCGATACCATCGCCAATGAGACTTCGGCATGGTTAGACGTGCCGCAAGAGCAAAGTGGCGAAATCCATGAGGGAGAGGTCACTCGGGAAGCTGGGCAAGAGGAGGCCCGCGAAGACGAGAGTAAACCTGCTCTGGATGGTGTTTTTGAGGATTCACAGCAAACCGGGAAGGAGGCAAACGAGCAGGACAGGGTCGAAGGAGATGGAGGAGTGACAAATGAGGCAAACAACGGAGAAAATTACGCCCGGCGACCGAGCTCTCCGCTGAGTGAACTCAGCCCAGCTCCAGACGACGACGATAGTCCGAATCAAGAAGGTGGTGGTGAGGGTGAAGGAGCCACCCAGGATGCCAGAGTAAAAGGGCAGCCACCGTCGGGTGCACAGGTTTCTGACCCTGCGAACCTGATCGATGCAAACGCCACCGACTTGAACAGTGGTTATCCTAGGATCACAGGGAGCGGGTTGAAGCACTCCATGCCGGCTGCCCCATTCAATACCGATCAAAACAGCATTGACGGGCTTCCTCCCTCTTCACCTGTACCAGGAAGCTCGTCACAACTTCCACATGCAACCTCGACGCCACACACCTCGTCTCCTTTGAAGCCAGCTGGAGAGAATGCTCAAGCTGGGCCGAGCGGGCTAACAGCATCGAGTCCTACGAAAATTGGTACGACGCAGAAGTTCGCAATACTGCTTGAGATAAATGCCCTGTTGTTTAAGTACGCTTTCTTTCCTTTGCCTCATGATTAGTTTCAGCCATCTCCTTTGTTGCCACGGATGAGCATATTCCGCTTCGTTTACGTCAACCCGTCCACCTTTTCGTGTTTAGTTCCAAACAACGTTCTTTACTTTCGGGCACAGCTGATTAATTTCTATTTTCAGGACATGCGAAGCCTTCTTCGCAGCCGGGTGTGTCCTACAGACACCAGAAGTGCACCCGTTAGTGCCTTTAATCCAAAAGAATAATTCCGGGTAACTGACAAGAGTATCTTATTTAGATTCGCGAGTAAACTCTCAAGCAACCTAACGTGGTTGTCTGCACATGTTGATGGCGTGAAACTTGTCTCGGTTCGTTGATTCCGTAGCTGTTCGCTCAATGGTCTTTACTGACTGTCAATTTTCCCTACTATCAATGCACAGGAGATACCAGAAATGGATCCCCCAGTTTTAGCATCCTCTGCAGCTCACATAACCTTTCCTGATGGCCTGTTGGATCGTATCAGTAATCTGTACTCTCGGCTACCCATTGTTTTCGCCAAAGACATAGCGCGGAGGAATCAAAGAATTGCATCGTCATCAGGCTCTGGAACGCCAACGCCTATAGGGCATAGAAATTCTGCAACACCTAGTTTACTCCCTCCAAGTGGCATTGGCATAAAGCGGGAGCGACCTGACAGTGCAGGTTATTCTGGCTATGGGAGCCCGACTGCTGCGAAACGCCGGGATACTGGCGATGCAAAGGCTGCAACTCCAAGCACTCCCGTGCAACCTGGATCTGCTGGTGCAATGGATATGCCTCCCCCAGTGACGCCCATGTCATCGCAGTCGCATGGGCAGATGGCACGGCCCGGTTCAAGCATGAGTGGTGTAGGGCCACTAAGTGGCGGTATCCAGGCTTCCAATTCCGCAGACGGGATGTTCCCTCCTAACGCAAGTCCGGGAGTAGGCATGGGTGCCGGAATACACGGCATGGCTAGTATGGGTGGATTAAGCCCCGAAGCACAAGCTCGTGCACGGCAGCAGATGCAGATGCGCCAGATGCAAGCCATGATGCATGCACAAAGTCAACAACAGGCGCATCAACAATCACCGCCGGCGGGTCAGCAGCATTCGACTATGCGGCAGGGTGGCATGCAGAGCGGGAATCCTTCAATGAGTCCGCCTCAACGTCAATCTCAACCAACACCTTCACCGTCACAGCAACAACAAATGATGCAAGCTCAGGCAGTGGCACGTCAAATGTCTCCTCCGGGTTCTGTGCCAGGCATGAACATGAACAGTAATATGGGCATGGGCATGAATGGCACCGATGGCATGAGCCCAAATCAGCAGGGCGGCATGAACAGTAATATGTCGCAGCCGGGAATGAACATGAACATGAACATGAACGGCATGGGTTCGAATACTGGCTCGAATATGCCGTTGAACCCTCAGGTACTTGCAAGCATGGGGCCGCAGGCGATGATGGCATACCAGATCTTACAAAACCCTCAGCACCAGATGACCCAATACCTCAATCAACAGATGCCTGGCTTTTCGCAATTGCCAATGATGGACCAAATTCGGCGATTCTCGTTGCTCCAGGTTTGACTTTTTCCCGCCCTTCCTCATTCCAGCCATTGATTACTTTTCTAATTTTTAGCAACAGAGGCAAATGCAGCAAGGGCAGCGTAATCAGCAAATGATTAGTAACCAGATGATGGGCAATCAAATGCGTCCAACAAATGCCAATGCGTCTGGCTCTGGTACTCCGCAAATGCAGCAACTTGGTCAGAGCAGTCCAATGGGTATGGCCCCGCAAATGCAGTCATCGAATTCGGAAGGCGGGATGCAGTTCCCTGGTACTCCGACGTCGGCGAACATGAACATGCCTAATCGGACTGCCTCGAGTATGGCTATGTCGCAACAAATGGGTAACATGGGTGGCATGGCGGGCATGCCGAATGTACCAAACATGGCAAATCTCAATCCACAACAGCGACAACTGTACCTCATGCAGATGCAGATGCGTGGTGCTGGCGCCGGAGGTAGTGGTGGTGTTGGTGGAGGGATGAATCCGTCAATGATGAATCCGCAAATGTTGGCTGCTGCTCAGGAGCGACAACGTCTTGAACAACAGCAACGGCTTGCTATGGCACAACGGCAGGGCTCACCGTTAAACCCTACTGCAAACAGCGGGCGAGATCAGTTTCCACCTGGGTTACGATCAAATCCAACGCCAAGCATCGGAATCTCTCGAACTGGCCGTTCGCCATCCTTGAGTGGTATGGGTGACATGGTGGGTGGGGCAACGCCTCGAATTGGTGGTCGAATGCTACCTGGTAACGAGGATTATCAACGTCAGGTACTACTACAACAGGCCCAGCGTACCCAAATGCAACAGCAGCAGCAGCAACAACAACAACAACAACAACAACAACAGCAGCAGCAGCAGCAGCAGCAGCAGCAAGGGTTCATGCAAGGGCAAGGCCAGGGTCATGGCGCATGGGCAGGCCAGCAGACACCGCAACAACAGCTACCGTTATCCGCGGGAGCCTGGCCGCAGCAAAATCCTCAAGGTTTCGGAATTGGTGGCTCACCTAGTGGTATGCAGTCTATGGATCTTATGGGCACTCCTCAGCAGACGAACTCAACACCAGTACAGATGGGACAACATAGTCCAACAGGACCCAGTTCTGACTTTGACAGCATGATGAATTGGTAACCCCTCGCGTGTACCTTTTCTTTTTTTCGCTTTTCATCTCGACTGCTTTTAACTTCGCAATGTTCTACGCGTTATGTAACCATAATAATTTTTTGGTCTCTGTCTTGTTTATAATCTCACATCTCTTTCTTACTGGCTTATCACTCTATTTCTTCTTCGTCTCTCTAACAACCCGTCACATCCACTCTGCTCACCAAACTCCCTACCCCCGCCGCACCCACACTTACACATTGTCCCGTTTGTCCCGCTATCGCTCCCCGAATCATTGCTCATCCGTCTTCTATCGGGGTGGTAACACGCATACGCCCTTTGCCGTTGTTATCTGTTGTTGTCCTGTGGCTTTGTATAGTACCTGATGATATATCGATTGGCACACCTAACTCTTTTTCTTTCCTTCCTCTTCGTTACTAAAATAGACGTAGTCAAAAGTCACTTTTCCCTTTTTGTCTTCTCCCATGTTTTCTATCTCTGAATATGATGGCACATACCCTTTTGTATGCGTGAGTCCATTTGTAGCTTACAATTTTGGGGTGAGAAGTGAGCTGTTGCTATTGCTTTTTTTTGCGTGTAATCAGGTCTAGAAGAAAGCAGGGCAATTACAGCTATTGTACCAAAGCCTTAGTATGGTATGGTATGGTATATAACCAGTGTTGGTCCCTAAAGCAAAATGCCAGGGCTGCTGGTTAATGTACATATCAGGAGTAACTACTGTAATAGCTACAATTAACTGCCCAGTATACTCAGGGTACTACTAGTATGATAGTAGTAAATGCTGTCCTGACTGTGTACTAAAGTATAGAAAAAACAAAACAAATACATATATAGAGACCCAAGTAAAAGAAGTACATGAGGAGGGATGCTAATTTCATAGTAGATGGTCTTGTTTTACAATCCTTTAAAAGTGCTTTATTTTACTAGATTCTACACTATTATACTGAGATTAGATGAGATAAATCCATTCAATGACAAAAGGTATCCTAACTACCTTTATTGAAGAATTATCAAGCTCAAAACTTTAACCAAATATTGTCTTTACATTCTAATGAATGAAGTTAACATAATAACCTTTTAGTAAACATACAAGGTACTATAAGATTACAATCAATATAATTAAAAACAATTTTACTAAGCCCATTATTCCCATCAATTAAACTAGTAGAAAAATGGTTGAAGACATACAATTACCCTTTTGTGATTACCAAACAGATTTTGTAGGTCTAGTGTTGAAAAATTACAGCATTACTGATTACGAATGGACTAATCCGGAATTGAACCGGACCCCTCTCGCATATTCTTGACAACACTTCTGTGCTAAGCGAGCGTGATAACCAACTACACCATTAGCCCGACACAATATATGTTACATTAAAAATATCTATCGACTTTTAAAATTTACAGAAGTTAAGAGAAATATACAAGATATTCTAACTACAAATTTCATGGTATGTTTCACTTCCTGAGCCTTCACTTGATGAGAGGCGAAACCGATCAAGCAAAATGGCAATTAATTTTGTTGTGATGTTTGGCTGGCTGGAACAAATAAACGCGTCTGAACACGTTACACGTCATCACGTTACTCGTAATTACCGCTCTGCCTGGTCCTGTCTAACGAACCTTGGCTCCGTCGTCTTGCTCTTGACGATTGGCACTTACGAATCTTTAAGGCAAAAATCAAACGTTCAGAATGGTAAAATCGACGACCATTGTACGCGCGACGGATGCGCTTCCGCTTGCCGCCACCGTCGATGATGAGCAGGTGCGTAGTGTTCTCTCTAAGTTCCTCTTACTTGCTATACTGCCTCAGGAAAGGACACTGACAAGACTTTATCCTACTTTTGCAAATTCAACAGACGGAGCAGGAACTGCAAGAACACAAGCAGCAAGCGAAGCTCATTTTCCGGCGAATAACACCCAATTCTGAGCCATTATGCTCTATTGAGAGTGGGCCTTACACTCTGCAGTACGCTTCCTCTATAAGCCTTGTCCCTTGCACGATTTAGTGCTGAGCAAAATTATTTTTGTCTCTGTGATCGTAGCTATATGATTGCGGACAACGTCGTGTACCTTACGATCGCGGACAAGTCATACCCACGCAAACTCGCGTTCTCGTACCTCGATGAGCTATCAAAAGAGTTCCAGAACTCATATGGCACGAAAGTGGAGGGTGTGCGCAAGCCTTATGCGTTTGTCGGGTTTGGTGCGTACTCGTTCTTTTGCTACGGTGTTCTGCTCAGAGTTCGTGGGACTAAGCATTATACTAATTTGGTCTGGACACAGATACGTTCATGAGCAAGACTGCACGATTATACCAGGACACGCGAACTGCCAGCGCTGCGAGCTCGCATCTGGACCGGTTAAATGATGACTTGCAAGACGTAACGCGAATCATGACTAAGAACATGGAGGAACTCCTTTGGCGTGGGGATTCTCTCGATAGTACGTTATAATCCATTAATCCATACTCTCACTTTCGTTTCTTCTCGAGAATAAGACACCTGACTAATGTGTTGACTGTCAGAAATGTCGCACCTTTCGACCTCACTACGATCTGAATCGGAGAAATACCGGAAAGCGGCGCGTAACATTAACTTCCAGGCAATGCTCCGGCAATACGCGCCTCTCGCAGCTGTTGCATTTTTCTTGATTCTCTTTATTTGGTGGCGCTTCTTATAGATGCATCGCTGGAATCTGTGAGGCGTTACGAGGGACCTGTGTATCAGGAGGCTCATACTATTCAACACGAGTATTGAGGCGGCTATATGTACATACAAGTACCCTGTTTTCTTTTCCCTGAGTATATTTTATTTTCGTTCGTTCCTACTGCATCTGCATATACATACAGTACTAGTATTTCACCTACATGCTGTTCTCACGTTGACTTGTTACTGAGCATGCGGCATAATTTTCTTTTGACATGGATACTGTGGTTTATTGACAAGTTACAAAACTGGGTGGCTCCGCGGGGACTGACTGAATGGGAAAGATGGGAGGAAAATGCGTATTTTTGTGCGAGATATATATATGAGCGCAGAGTGAAAACGTAAATTCTTTGAGGCACGTTACATGTACAGGCAGGCAACGTGCCTTTTACAGCCCACTGCCCATTGTCATCAAACAGCATCAACTCGTTTGTCTCCCGCTTTCATCGTCAATACCGTAGACCAATTTTGTTGGTTCGATCTTGTTGAGCGACTTCTTGGTATGCTTCGTTTCATATTATGGTCATTTCCGACGTTATAGCTTCTCACTTATGGTTATATATGCATTCAGAAAGGGGGTGCATTTAAAGTCAAGTGCACCGACCACAAAGCGATCCACTGAGATCGTAAAATATCCACTATATCCACCAGACAAGTAACATCTAAAGATATGTCCTACCTTTACGGCGCATCTCCTTCAGCGTACCCTCCACCCGCAGGAGGAGTGCAAGCAACAAACTACGGCGCACCTCCGCCTACCGCTAGTAGTAATGCGTATCCTCATTCACCCTACGCAGTGCAGGCCGCCGCTCCACATTCGCCCTATGTAGGTGCAGGCCAGCCTCAACCACCAGCGGGGGCCTATCCACACTCGCCGTACGCTAGTTCGGCGGGATCGACTACGCACGCGCCAACGACGCCCGGTGGATATCCTAATGCTACATCGCCGATGGTTGGAGGACAGATGTACTTGCCCCCTGGTGCTCAACTTACTGTCGGTTCTGGTATGACCTCTCCTACTATGTCTGCGCAGCAGTCACAGCCGTTCACTTCGAACGTCCAACCTGGTGCGGTAACTTATACGACAACGACGGACGCTCAAGGTCGCATTACGTACCATCACTTTAAGTAAGTGGAGTGCACCGTATGCTCCACGAAAGTCGAGTTAATGAATGTCTATTCTTTTTGTGTGATAGGGCAGAACCTTCGACGTGATTTATTTTTATTTTGTATGTGCTTGTATGCGGAGGCTCAAATAATAAATAGATACAAATCACCGCAAGGTGTAACGTACACTGGCATACAATGGGTCCCTACGGAGACTTCATTCCATCCACCTGTTGGTATCCCTCCAGCTGGTCCAGTTAGTCCTTTCGCTATTTTTGCTACGAGACTTTGGGTTGAACATCGGATCAATAGGACGTCATTGCCTCGTTCCGAGGCCAGTTTCCTGCTGCGCCTGGAGCCAATACTCAATTTGGAACTGCCTCCGTAATGCCAGGTTTGGGACCCGATTATCGGGATGACGCCTTTAAGTCTCCGAGAGAATTGTGTGTTTATGTACATTTGCAAGATATGATTTAATTTTAACTCGTCATTCTTACAGAGAAAAAGAAGAGAAACGCCGCAGGAAGGAAGAGAAGAGGCGTAATGCGGCCTGGGAGGCCGAGCGTATTGCGCGCGAAAAAGCAGAAGATAAAGAGATGCGCAAGGCTGCTCGTGAACGCGATGCCGAACTGGACCGTGCAGCGCGCATGCGTCGTCCCAGCTACGGAGCCGGACTCGGCGCAGGACTCGGCGCAGGTGCATATGATCGCGAACGATCTCGCGAACGCAGCAGTGACCTCCTCCGCGAGAGGGAGTTCCGTGATCGCGAAGAACGTGAACTGGAGCGCCGTATGGGCGACCTCGACGTCGGTGGTCGTGGAAGCGGCTTTGGGGGCGGAGACTACGAAGCGGGTTATGTTCCGCCTGCTGCTCCTGGGACACGTTCGAGACGCCAGTCTGTGTCTGCGCGGGTCGCCCCTGCTGCCGGTATTTACGACGATCCGCAATACGATCGCGACGACGATGAGTATCCGACTTACGGAAAACGTGATGCATCCCGCCACCGTTCAGGCATATATGCTGCTCCTGAGAGAAGTCGCCCAAGCAGTATCTATGGCCCTCCAGAGCGTGAACGCGCTGGTCGTCCGACTAGCATGTACGGTGCGCGCGATCGTTCGCCATACCGTCGTGATGCGAGCCCACTTCCGCCCAGTTTGGGCCCAGGCGGTGTAGAAGTATACCCACCAGGTCATATTTACGCTGGGCAACCCGTCACGGGATCCAGCTCCGGGTTCGGGGCTGGTGGACTCGGAGGAGCTTCACCTCGTCTCGGTATGGGAGGCGGATTGTCTCCCCGTGTTGGCGGTGGTGCCATCCCTGGTGTTTCCCCACGCATTGGAGGCAGAGCCGCACTTGCCGGAGGTGGTGGATACGGCGCTTCGCCGTCTGACCTCCTCTCTGCGCCAGATGCATTCTCTCGCCCGATTAATTCTGCGCATACGTTCACTCCGTTCAAGGATATTCGCATACAGTCCATGGACTGTTTCTTGGAGCACCTCCTCTTTCCCATGCCAGCTGTGCTCGGGACGCATGATGTGCTTTCGGAGGATTGGGGTAGGCTTATGAACGTCAGTCTTTTCTCTAATTCTCTAGTCATATTCGAGTACTATGTTCTTACCCTTATTATCCCCTTTTTTGATGTGAATAGGACCTCAAACTTGCCTGGCAAAACCGACTCCCGCTCCCCGCCGATAAGCCTACGAGGCGCTCCGACCTCGTCATCGACTTGCTCGATCTCTGGAACAGCGCCTTCTTCATCCCGCGCTGCGTCGAACTCGTCCTCTACAAGGGACGGAACCAAAAGTCCGGTCGGGGCGCAAACAACCCCGACACTCGTCTCGCACCCGAAGAGCTCGTTTCTTCGGACTCCGATGACGATGACGATGAGACTGATGATTCGGAGGAAGAGGGTGGGTATGGGGGTCAGTATGATTCGTATGGGAGACAGGGGCACGCGTCGAGGAGGGAGATGGCGAGGGCTGCGAGGCAGAAGGTTAAGATGGAGCGGAAGGTGCAGAGGGAAATTGAGAGGAATAAGAGGTATGCTTTGTGGTTGAGGTATGTTGACCCGAGGTCGATATAAGCAGCTGATTGCCAGTGGGCAAATTAACCTCGTTTCTTGAGAGAAGACGACCTGGACAGAAGGAATAATAGATAGAATGAACAAATGCTGAACTTCCGAACTTTCTTCTATGATTGACTATATGCGTGTATTTCTTGCTGCTTTGTACGTTATTATCTATGCTGTGAATATTATTGTCCATGGAAAATCTGTACTTTGCAGGAGCATGTTTCTTACTTTTAAACAAGGAGATCAAGCAATGGCAAGTATAATAATGTGTAGCTGGAAACAAAGGAGTAACAGAACGAAGCACACAAAAATCAAGAGTAAGAACGAAAACGCAAGGTGTTCCCCTTATTCCTCGTCCTCCGTCTCGGTCCTTCGTTTCTTCTTTTTCTTCTTCCTTTTCTCCTCTTCCCCTTCCTCTCCAACAACACCAGCGACAACATCTCTCTCCTTCCTCTTTTTCTTCTTGAGCTTCTCTTCGACGGTTGGCTCGGCCTGCTCGGTTGGTGCGACGAACGCTTCTGCGCGTTTTGCTTGGCGTTCGGCTGTAACTTCTGCTTGCTGTAAAAAAAGTTAGTAGAGAAGGGGTAAAGACACAAAAGTGATAGGTAAGGGATGGTTGAAGGGATGGAGGCGGAGTAATAATTGTACCTTTTCTTTCCTCTTTTGTGCTTCCTTGGCTTCTTTTTCGCGAGGTTTGAGGAAGTATTCTCCTGATTCGAGTTGTAAGTCAACCTACAATACGCACAAAATTAGTACAATCACATAATCAAAAGTTAGAAAAGCATTTTTTTAAAGAAAACTGACCTTGCGAGGCTGCTGAGGCGGCGGGAACGGCGTATACACTTTCTTCTTCGGTATATTTGCTGTCGTTGAGCCGTCCACATCGAGTCCCGCTTCTTTCCGAGCTTCATCTTTCGATCGATGCGCCTCGTTCTTCCGAGCAGTCTTTTCGGAGGTCTTGAGGTGTCGTTTACGGAATTTGGGGAGGAAACGGTCCCAGGACTCGTTTGCGAGTTTGGGGTCTTTGGCGAGTTCGCGTTTGATCATTAGCTCCTATGTTGTATATAGATGAGTTATGAGTTGAGGTTAAGAGATGGAGAGGTCGGTTACTTTTATTCGATATATTGGATGGATGTTTCGCATGCAGTCGAGTACGATTCGACGGACTTCTTTGAGCGATTTGTATGGGCCCATGGCGCTAACTGTGTTGCCTTGTACAAGGACATAGCACTGGGTTAAAAGTTCAATTGCCTAAATGTACCAACGAAAATCGTCAGGACAATTTTCACAACCTTCAAACAAATGAATAGTGAATAAACTAAAATACGTACCTTCAACGTACTCCCATCAGGTCCAATAATCCTCTGCCGTCTCTTAACGAATCGTTCCTTATTTCTGACTAAACCGCCAATTTTGATGATGTCGCAAGCCATGTCGTCGTTGAGGATCTTCACGGCTTGGCCAAGGGCGACTCCACGCGCGAGGAGTTTGATCATATCGCGAGCTTTGAGGATGATGTATGGATCGAATGTCTTGCGGGTTGTTCGGACGGCCATTGAACCGTGTATGAGGTCTAGTGTACATGCGATGCCCTAAAATAAAATGTATTTAGTCTTGAGTGAAGTCAAGAGTGAATTAGGCACATACGTGAGATTCTAATGCTTTCGTTACTGCGCTCCATACTTCCCGAAGATATTTTTCGCGGTACTTTGGAAATAGTGTTGCGAAAGATGATTCTTCGAGGAATGTTCCACCCTTATTGTCCGTGTTCGTGAAGGGGTCGATTTTCCACTGAAATAAGATTAGCACTATTAACTTGAAGGAAAGTAATGTATCTACACTTTGAGGCAGTCAGAAATGTGCGAATACAAGAGTTTAGCGACATACTCACTGGTCGATGTCATCCGTGTCCCAAGCTGAAGAAGGCAGGTAAGACGCTAAACTTATTTTAAAGGTATACTCCGAAGCATACGCTTGTCCTTTCTGTGCCTCTTGTTCTTATTTACAACCGGAGCTTCGTCGGTTTCGGAAGCCATGTTGGGGAAACTATAGCGAGGTGGAGGTAAAAAGTTAAGAGCAGTTGGCACTGCTAGCCCGACTTCCGGATTTGCAGATCGGCGAGAACCACAGACGCGTTTACTGCCAGACTGGCTGGTCATTCACTAACCACCATCGTCTTCTCTTCGTATATTTTTCCTTTCGCCGCTTTAACTCTGCAAAACTCACTCATGGACGTACTTACCGAAGACGTATCATATGGAGATACCACGGCTGCTCTATCGTACGATGAAGGAATAACATATGAAGAACAAGTCGCGGCGCTTCCGGCCGAGCTACCGAAGAGCGAATCTTTGGGTCTCGCAACTCGCATCAGTTCGAACAAGGTGTACTTGCCACCCGAGAGCATGTCAAAGGGAAAGGTGCGCGTCGTCTCCGGGTGAAAGAAATGCGTGCGGCGTTCGTCTGACGTCGAGAGTTTTCGCCACGCTTGCTTCCTTTGCATTCCCCGGCTTTTATTCTTTTGGACGTTATTAATATTTTATATGTCGGTATGGAAAGCGTAAAAGAAGTGACGACGCCGGTGAGGAGATTATGGATGAGGATGACGAAGGCATGAACGCAGGTGGGGTATTCTTCCCTCACATTTGTTTTGCACGGTGATTAACCAATTGTTGCACTAGACGGTTTGCGTCCGAACGCTCTGTATCTTCGTGGCTCGCCCATTACCCATCTACCTACGAATAACATATTTGCATATGCCCGGCATTTCAATATGGAACCTGTTGGACTCGAGTGGATCGACGATCAGTCCTGCGTTCTCGTTTTTCCAACAAACGCTGCTTGTCGAGCTGCTGTCGAGGCTTTCCGTAAGTCGCCCAAGGAACAACCCGACTTTGACGATTGTGTCTCCGCAAAACCGATTCCTCTTATTTTATGGCCCGCTGAGGACCGTATCAACAAGACCCTCGGTATGGCGGAGGGCTTGGAGGGACCACTATCCATGCGTGTAGCACGCACGAATGACAGGAAGATTCGTGGCGCGAAACAACGCAGTGCTTTCTATCAAAAGCACGGTATGGATGCAGGTAAAGACCCTAATGCGCATGCTATTGGACGAGCGCCGGAGAACGACCTTGCTACAAAGCGTCGCAGAGTACACGAAGAAGATGACGAAGAGAAGCGCCGCCAGCTTGACGAGGAACTTGATGATTTTTTGCGAGCGGAAGACCGTATTCCATCACCTCCGCCTTCTCCGCCGTCGAAGATGCGTTCAGACTATATGACAAATGACGGACACGAAATAGGAAGAATATCGGGTCTTTCGCTTCTTGACCGAACGTCTCTTATACGCGAGCACTTTAGTGACGAGGAACGTGGGGAACGTCCGTATCTGCGAAATGGCCGTCGTCAAGACCAAAGAGGCGGAAGAGGACGGAGACGCAAGGAATGGGGAGAAAATATATCTGTACCTCCTCTTTCGCGTCGCAGAATCAATGAGAACGATGCCGGTCTAGCGAGTCGATCGGAGCGACCAAAGAAAACGCTTCAGGAGTTGGATGATGAGTTAGATGCGTTCCTTCATGGAAATGATTGAACACTGTTCACGCCACTGCATTACCGTCTTTATTGTTAGCTTGCCTTTAACCATCTTGCTGCTGATTTTGTTTGGCGCAGACTTCATTGTAACTTGAGCCCTACTCATTTTGTCCTGGCTAAGTGGAATAAATCATCGTTAAATGTAATTAAATTTCTTAGTAGAACGCACACGTGACCGACGCGTCTGGGTGGCACCTGAACTGCTTCCTTATCTCTAGATTCTCTCTACCTAGTACCATCATCACAAGATGGCACCCGCCTCGGAAAATACGCTTAATCCTTACCTTACCTCTTCTATCCTACAAGACGAGGAAGATGATGACGGCCAGCTTACTCCTCTCTGTCATCCAGATGGACATGTCGAGTCCTCAGGTTCCTTCTTCTCTCGTGTTAAGCATAGTATCACCAGTTCTCCGCTCGGAAGTATTCTCGGACACTCTAGTTCAACTTCTCTTCGCTCTAATAACTCGGAATCGAAGGGAAATGATAGCAACGTCAAGGCAAATCTTGGAGTTCAACGGGACGACTCAAATTCTGTAACACCACGTCGCTTATCTATTATCAAACACGCCTTCCTACCTATGCCTGGTCGCTCGCCTTCGCATTCTCGCTCAGCTACTGTTAGCTCCACTCAGTCTGATATTTCTACGGACTCCAGCTCTCGCTCTGCTTGCACATCTTCGTTCTTGCCTGCATGCTTTTCACCGGCCTCACAAGCTTCGCTGCCTACTCTTGCCACGTCTGTTCACGATAGCGACAATGAAGACAAATGGTCTCCTACCTTGAGGTCCCCGTCAGATGCACAGGAAACGCCTCCTCTCACTCCAGATATGCCTCAGCAAGCAGTGGTTTCTTATCCGAACTCAGATGGCGCATATAGGCAGAGAAGGTCTCACAGATCGGCCTCTATCTCCATTAAGGATGATGGCAATCCATCCTCGGGCTCAGACAGTAAGAAGGGAAAGAGTCCTGCCACACCGTTTGTGAGTGCGACGATCGTGCCTTTGCTCTTGCCTGATATCAAACCATGTTCGGCTATGTGCAGCCGTATGATACTCTCATAGCAGACATTAGTCCTCCTACTGCTCCAAACAGGACAAAAGATGAAGATCTGAGTCTCTGCGATGATAACGCTGAATGGTGGGGTCTGGAATATACTCTTGAAATGAGTCGCAGGGATAGTCGCGCGTCGGATTCTTCGACGAGTACAACTGGAGAACACTCAAAGGTTCGTAATCTTTCCTCTGTCCGCGTCTCTTAACTCCATTTTTTCCAGAGCCGCGAGTCATGGGCCGCAATACACCAGGGTGCTGTTCCACCGGTCTACGCCGATGCGAATTACCAGGATTGGCAACGCTGGCATCGTGCTCTAGATAAAATTGAGATACGCCGTCGCAGAAAGCGCACTATCGATTTCCTTGAAGAATCGGAACACCTTGCTGGGCTGTTTGTTGACGAAATGCTTGCTCAGCGTGCAGTCCAGATTCATGTGCGTTTTATCACTGAGCTATTACGCCGTATTCCAAAAGTAGACTCATGCTAGGTATTAGGAGGAGCTACTCACAGAAGATGAAATTTACGATGCCCTGGTGTGGGTTGAATATGCTAGTGAACGCCGACCAGTATGTCTGTATTTTGATCCATAAGGAAGTTGACTAAAATGGACTCCATACTGAAGGACCCATTCTTCCCACCGGAAAGGCATAGCCTGGGCTGGGTACTCAAAAGCCACCGCTCAATTGCATGCTTGCGCGAGCTACAAGAAACGCCAGCCGATGACGAGTAGCTTTGTATAACATGGGGTGACACGATTCACTGCCAAGCCCTTGCCGTTGCATTTTGACTTTAGACATTCTGTTTGACATCGAGTTACGAAAAGCTTGCGGACTGAAATTTTCAACCTTGTTGCTGATGCCACCCCGGACGACCCGATTCTTTGTTTCTTGTGAACGAGATGATTCAGGACTTGCATTGGCAATGATGATCACGATAAACGCAACCGCAAATTTTAAATATTCGAACCTTCTTACAACCTTAGCAACAAGTCCACGATGACGTTCGATGGATCCTAGTTTTCACCTTGTCGATCTGTTCCGTTAATTTCTCCCTCTCTTGTACGAATATCTTATTTGAAAAAGGCTCGAGAGCCGTGAGCTCTGCGCTTTAGAACTTCCCTTGTTGAAACGTATCTGCTGTACTTGTATTATAGAATTACGAACTTTATGTCGTGATTAGAGAAAATACACTAATGGACTGGGTGAGTCGAAGCCGAAAAAGTATCATGCCCGAAGTAAGCATGGCTATATGCGCCTGGGGAGACGGTTAACAGCACGTTGTAATTGTCTCGCCTCACTAATTGTCTGTACATGCCATGTACCAGAGCACCAATAGCTTGTTGACGTTTCCTCTGCAGTGGATGACAACCATATATATGTCCGATAAGATCCCTGGAAATATAAACATATTCCAAAAAATACTGCCAGAACAACTCAGGAACGGGGAAAACCTATTACTTATATCTTGGCGAAACCACGGACGTGTACGTAGGTGGTGGTAGGTCTTGGTGGGTAGTCTGAGTTGCCTGCGACGAATCCTCCGTAAAGCCACTAATATCGGAGCTATGTGCAGAAGACATTTCAATGTTTGAAAGCATCAATCCATGAGTCGATGACCCCGCTTCCTCCACGTTTCGACGATGCTTCCCTGTAATTGATCGTGCTCCTCTAGGAGGTAATTCAGAGGTAGGAGCAGGAAACGGAGTGATAGTCGTATCAACCTCGAGAATCGGGTCTAACTGTTCCGTGTGTGCAACCCATATTCCTTTGGCGCTTCGTAGCCTCTTCCTTCGCACAAAGAAGTACCACATCCCCACAACAATGAGACAGAGTGCTACACCACCGACAACGGCACCGACTGTTGCTCCTGTATTTGACTTTTTTGTATCGTGTGATTGAGAGTTCCGATTTTCTTGTGTTATATCGCCGTGACCTGTCAAAGTTCGTAGGGTAGGAGGTTATAATGACAAGCAACTTGTGATGGTTTTAATAATTAATTACCAACCTTCGTTCTTAAGACCGTGAGCTTCTGTTGCATTGAATATTCCACCAGACCATGATGCCGCTTTTTTATTGATAGTGAGACAGACAAAGTCGCATCAATTTTGGGAAGAGCTTACGATATGTCGTCACCCAAACAGGAATTGCAGTCTCTGGCGGTATCGCAACTTCTAACGGATAATATCTACAAGATTAGTTTGTCAAAACAAAAGGATTAATTAAACACAAGAGATGGGATGGGGGGAAAGTTCAGTTTTAAAAGGACGCACGTATCGGATATAAAGTCTGTACAATTCAATGAGTAGCTATCCCATCTGTTGTGCAGGTTAGTGAACCTCTTCGAATAGAGCGGATGACACTGACGTTCTTGCTGTACCATTTTGACAAATAGCACATGCTTGAAGTGCGTTATATTCAGCCCAAGAGCTATAAAAATAGTTATTCATAAATAAGAAATACATGTTTCAATGTCCAAAGGTGACAGAGGACATACCACCGACATTTCTGTGCTACTTCTGCGTCCACCGTTAGGTAATAACCACCTGGCTTTATTTTAGGTACGTCATAATCTAGAAACGCAAGTGTCTATATGAGCATAGGTCGTCTTAGTAGAGGAAGAGCTTACTTCCCCCAGGACTGCACGGACTTCCGAGATAGCTAGCAACCAAGCACGGACTCTGACTTGGATTCAGCGAGTTATTCATCCAGCCAAATCCTTCCAAGCATTCGGCCTCCGTTCTCACGTCTCTCCGTTCTAACGTCGAAATTTTGCTGAAGCCTCGCCCTATCATTGAAGGTGGAAGCGCAGGCAGGGATTGGATTTAATCAGACTAGGGAACGATAAGACCTAGTACTGAAGTCAGACATGCTTATAACGGAGGACAAAGAGGGGCTCTACATAGAGTCAAGTATGTCTCACTACTCAAATCAGCCTTTGTCCAGTGCAACAGCAGATCGGCTATTGAGATCAGTCATACTACACGCATATAATGTCTTGAGGTTCCCACTAAACGTCTACGCAAGCCCGACACTAATAGACCAAAAACTTGTGAATAGCTCCTCTGTGTTGCGTGAAATTCGCCAATAAGAAGTAAGGAAGGGAGAATGAATTTGAGAGCTGAACATGCTGGCCAGTGTACCGAAGGCATGAAATCTAAAAGCATTGAAGTCGATGGTGATGCAGCGTCAGAGTTGGGTCTTCTCTACCATATTGGAATGTAATGATTACTAAGCTGCATTGTGCAAGGCGTCGGCTCGGTAACCTGAAACAGTCTTGGTTCCAACCTTGTCTAGTCTAGTAGAGTAGAAGATCAGTTTGAACATAACCTGTGACGGAATTCATGACTTGGTACCTCCACTGACTCAAGATAGATCCTAAAGCCTTTGCTCAACGCGAACGAAAGGAAAACGCTATAGGACTTGATATGTACGCCCTGACCTGCCGTCACCAGCCAGCAGCACCTGTCGATTTCGACGCCGACGAAGACGCAGTCCTCCTCCATGGCTGGCGCAAGCACCCGAACCTGCAGGGTTGGATGGAACGGCTCTACCGCGAGAAGGGTGGCGTCCATAAGTACTTTAATAACGTCAACCTTATGCTGACTACTGAAGACCTCGACCAACTGGAGGCCGACGTCCGGGCACGCAGGCTGCCACACACGGAAGGCTTTTTCTTCGGCGTAAGCACCAGCGAGGATGAGGAAGACGACCTCCTGTTCATCACCAAGGCGCGTGAAGCGCTGAAGGCAGGGTTGTTCGTGTTCTACGACTCTTGGTGGTAGCTTCACTCGCGCCGACTCTGGTCGACGTAGGTTACTCGTCCATGGGTTGAATCCTCTATCGCTTCAAATTCAAAACCAAAGAAAAGGCTCTTGTCAGGTGGACGTGAGATGCACCAAGCAAGCTTTCATGTATGACAGAAAATCTCGATTGGACAGTCCCGAATTGCAATGGTTCTCATATGGATTCTGCTTTCTGCCAAAGTCAGAGAGGGCGATAAATAACGAGACGGTACTCTCCCGTCGATCAGCGTGCTGGATCACTTAGTCCGGGATCCGGGATCTTCGTTCGTTTAAAAGGAGAAGAGAAGGGAGAGAAGCAATGGCATAGCAATGACCGGACTCGGGATGCTTCATAATATCCAGTTTGCATAGCATACAACCTCTCCTCAATCACTGGGACAGTGTTAGTAGGTTCTGTTTGAAATAGTTTAACAAACTATCACTACCATATCTTTCTTTGATGAAAGTTTTAACCTTGTGACCACGAATAAGTCAGCCTCGAGCAGTTCGACTTTCTCTCGTTCTAATCGCGAATCGAAGGTATATTCCAAACCTCAAAGGGAATAAATACGTACATGGAGTATGTGTCTAATGTACATCACTTGTCGAAACTATCGATGTATATGTAGGTGGCGGCATATCTCGTTCAGGTGAATGGAGTACCCCGGATGTGCCCTCAGGAGTATGTCTATCGAAGTTGGGAGTAGATGACATTTCAGTGCTCGAGAGTATGGTTCCGTCCGTTGATGACCTCGGTTCTCCCAAATTTCCACGATTCTTTCCCGCAACTGCGAGTGTTTCCGTAGGTAAAGCGGAGATAGGCAACGGAGAGATAGAGGTATCAATCGCAGGACTATGATCCGATCCTTCTGAGAACATGGAACGTATTTCTATGTCGGTACGTATTCCTCGAAAGGCTCGTCGCCTTCTCTTTCGCACAACAAAGTACCAAAGCCCCGCAACAATGAGACAGAAAGCTACACCGCCAACGACGGCACCAACAATTATCTTTGTATTTGAATGGTTTGTACCATCGAATGGAGGGTTCCGATTGTCCTCTGTTATGTCCGGTTGACCTAATAAGTATATAGTGCATACAAGGTCCATAGATTAGAACATTTGTATGATATTTAATTGTGATATTTCTATGATTAATACGAACCTTCATTTGTGATATTCTGAGCTTCTGTTACGTTGAATATTCCACCAGACCATGATGATGCTTAATCGTTGACAGTAAGATGTACGATACCAGCGTAAATGTTTGACGGAGCTTACGATCTGTCCCTGCCCAAGCAGGGATCGCAGTCAGAGCCGGTATCCTGGTGTCTAACGGAAAATATCTACAAAATTTATTTGTTAAACCATAAATTATGACTAAATATAAGATATGGACAATTCTAAAAGGACGCACGTCTTCGACAAAAGATTTTTGCAGTTCGTTGTGTAAAAGTTCCAACTAATGTGCTGGTCAGAAGATTTCACAGTATGGCGAGTGAAACAAAACGAATGATGCTAACGTTAGTGCTTTACCATTTTGGCAAACGGCACATGCTGAAATCGTGTTGTATTCAGCCCAAGAGCTGGGCATTAATTATTCATAAATAAGAAATGCATGTTTAGGTTTGCAGAGGTCACAAAAGAGACGCACCATAGACACTTATTCGATGAATTAGTCGTCGGGGCTTGGTAAGAACCGGGTGGTAATGCACCAACATTGGCGTCTTTTTATGCGTGTGTTCAACCACGAGTTATTCGTTGGGACATATACAAGTTGAAAAGTAAAAACTCACTTCCATCACGAGTGCATGGACTGCGGAGATAGGCAGCAACCAGACACGGGCTCTGACTCGGATTTAGCGAGTTGTTCATCCAGTCAAATCCACTGGAACAGTTGGCCTGTGATGTTACATCTCTTCGTTCCAACATTGATGAAGTGCCGAGGTCTTTTCGCATCATCAACCGTGGAAACAGAACTAGAAATTGATCACTCTCGAAAATGCCTGATTTTCTTGAGTTAGATACGATACTGGAGGAAGACAAGTAGGGCTTCGCAACGTGGCAACACTGTCGAGGTTAAGAGGTGGTCGTGTGTTGAGACTGATCGCGTCGGAAGGTCTCTGGTTGAGATCGGTTCATGCCGGAAGTACATGGTATCAGGTTCTAAGAAAATACTCAGGGCTGATTGTAAACACGTCGCGAGCGGGCAATGCTTGAATCAAAGTGGTAATCATAGCGGGCAGGGCACAGCCGTTCACACAGGAGTGAGGTACAAGCGCGCTGCAACCGTGATGGATAAAGCGTTACCTAATCAATTTGCGCAGGGCAACCTGGATGCCAAGCGTTGTGTGTGTGTGAAATTGGGAAGACGGAAGTACCTGTCACCCTGTGCTCTTGAAAGAGCCAGCGCTACACTGAAAGGGGAGAGAGCGGTGTCCTAGATGATCACCCATTGCCCATTATATAAAACAATTCGAAACCACGTTGGACAGAATTGTTATTGAAGTTCAGAGTTTTAAATCGGATTTCAATGGGTTTTTATTACTGCTGAGCTTGATCCATGAGGGAGATTGCCAAAATTAAACGAAGGTCGAAGTCATGTCGCCCATGTTTTCCAATTGGTTTCGACTCGACATCAAAGCCCGACGGTTTTAAGTTCTCATACTCGTTGAAGACTGTAACTGTAAAACATACGCACGAAAGCCACCAATAATCATTGCCATTCGGTCCATCGATCGTATTTTCGTTCCTGGTCGGCTGGTAGAGCACGTACATATTGGGGAATAGGAAAGAGTTGAACCTGTAGTCGCTGTTACCTGTGCATTAGGGTGTATTTGCCTACGTTCAAGTGCTCAGTAAGCAGTAAAGCCTGCAATTAGTGTCTCTGGCATGGCTGTTTTGACGAACGAAGTACGAAGCTGCAACGGAGCAATTTGGGTCGCCACGCAAACAAAAAAAACTGTATTCATCATTCATTGATCAAAGTTGTGGATTAACGACGCTATATAAAAACGTAGGCTAAATCCAAACATTTCCAAATCATCTTGGTCTGTCTACACCAATCGTCTGCAATATAAGTCTCCAATACCCACTTCCACATTCCAAACCATGCAAACTAGAGAGAAATCAGTATAATGGTTGACTAGAAACGAACCATACGAAGAAGGGAAAAAATGGCTCAGAAAAAGAGTACAAGCAGCCAAGGGTGTTTTCGACACGTCACATCGCTGACCCTTCTTCATCCTTGAGATGAGGAATGGATCAACAGCCGTTCGGTGGTAATACCAACTTTTGCACATCATTGACGGAGGGCAGAAAGAATATGTTGCTTACCTTTAGAGGTGGTAGTTTGCAGGCTGATGGTGGAGAATTTCAGTCGTTGTCGAGTGACGAGGCGGGAATTTTTTGGGGGTGTCGCACGTGACACAATTCGAAATGATCACCACGGTCTTCACGGATCGTAATTTTGAATCGTACTTGTCGCCCTCAGGCGGCCCACTTCATATGTCTTTACTGTAGTCACAGTGATTAAGCATGATGTAGTGCAAGTGATATTCACGAAACACTGTCTAAAATAGCATGAGGCCCGTGCCAACTCCGTGAATTATGCATAGGCAGTTGCGTGTTATGCGAACTGCATATTGCTGATTGTCCCTGACCAATCCATCCTGCCGCCATTTGCATCCTTCTCCCCTGCTTCTTTTAAATTTATAAGAATTCGGCATCCAAGGACGCATAAAATCATCGGGTTTGCAATTGCGTTCAGAATATCCGCTACACCAGGTTTGAGGCGGACCAAAAGTCCAACGAAGATTGTACCACAGAACAAGACAAGACTGTATCTTCAGTTAGCAACAGAACTCAAGAATGTGCGAAGCTCCCCTACAAGACATAATATTTAGTCTGATCCTGGACTAGTATCTTGACAAGGTGGAATCCTCGTAACCCAGAAGATGATTTCAAATGCTCATATCCTTTATACAATGCAAGGATAAATAAAATGTGCCCATGTACGAGAGGTATAATCCTATTATGAGTTAGAAAATGCAAGCATAATTGGCCAACAACATACACTCCAGCTATTCTTAGTTTTGATGGATCATTCCGATCAATATACTGTATACAACTTGTAAATCCGTACTTGCTAAGCCAAACTAGAACAAGATCAGTACAGTGTAGAATATTGTGTTTATAAAAGGAAAAAGTACCACTATATTCAACCTCCTATCTATCTAAACTAAGTCCGGGGAAATAAGCTGCCAAAAGAAAAGTCTTACTATTGTGCCAAAGAGCCAAGACTCGTATAAGTAGAATATCTGTTGTTTCTACTATAAGCGGCTAAAAACAGACCAAACCAAAGTCAATCACATACATTCCATTAGCATAACAATAAGCCAGGCTAACTTTTTGGTGAGTAGTTATAGTGAACCAGAGATTTAGACACTCACTACTTAGTGCATATGACCAGAGAGCAGATTGACCTGAATTCAACAGAGTCAGATAGGAAGGAATGTGTACAATTATACAAAAACTTGCATCTGTAAAGGAAATTGTTCAATTGGTCATAGTACACAATAATAAGCAAACCTACTTACATCTCGGGAGAATGTCCAAATGTAGTATCTGTGTAAACAATACATTAACATGCTCTCTTATGTATAATCAATGTAATAAATTTACTTACAGATAGAGAAGGCAAGGCTTCCAAATAGCCCAATGTACCGGAGCTATTGAATGTATAGACATGCTTGTACAGATATAATAAAGAACACACACAAGAAAGAAGACAATACTATTGAGGTTCATTGGATTTGACTATTGTGTGTACTATATGAGTATGGAGAAACAACAATTCTGGTTTTGAACCTACCAAGAAAAATCTAATCTACAGGTGTATGGTTTCTTAATAGATTTGTCTCTTGTACATGCACAAGCTCCTACCTCCTTGTCTTTGGTAATGACTTTAAACATATTTGTAAAAGTTCTGGCTGTAGCAAGCAAATACAGCTTCACTCACTAGAGTCATAAAGCACAACAGTGAAAAGCCCCAGAGTGATACACTTTTCAGCAAAATTTGCAGACATAAGCAGTAAATAGGCCTTTGAATAACAGTTTGAATATCCTGAATCGAATTGAGTATCAGGAATGACTGTTACTTGGTTAGTAAGGTCCGTAGATGCTGTAATTCTCGAGGGTTTTTTGAACAGGGGGTATGGAACATTCATAGAGGGAAGCAATATATATATGCTTCATCTGCACCGGTAATCATGATGATAGGCCAAGGGTGTCTTATTTACTCCCCATTAATTACTGCTCATCTTGATGTCGAACTACCGGCTGAGGTCCGACTCAGACGGAAGGGAGGCCGGGCGGTCACTGCAAATCGCCGAGTGCAATTTCAGAATCCGGATCTAACACATCAAGTGTGAAGTGCTCAAAACAATGTTGGCAGTGAAGAAGAGTATGATGACGATTCCGCTTATGGTGATATTTTAATTAACGGGACACATTGGAAAGACATGGATACTGAAGGCTTTGCAGTACTCTCACAGAACGAAACTCCAGTGCCATTAACTCTAGAAGCGATTACCACTTTCCACATAGTGTAAGAACGGTTGAGTATAATATACATTTCGCGTATCCCAAATGACCCTACACGAATTCTACGTGAGCGCTCGATTCATGCTGTGCTCTCCAGATAAAAGGATGTATTTTTGATGCAGCAAAAGTAATACTCAGTGAAGTGTAGCAGTTTGAGAGGCATGTATTGACTCACAATACTGTAAATTACATTTGTGATGAAGAGAGTGTTCGTTGTGCAAACTGCATATTACTGGTTGTCTCAACACTGTGCAATGTCCTGCCGTCTACACCTTTCTCCATTACTTCCATCAAATTCATTAGAATCCGGCTTCCGACAACGCATAAAACCATTGGGTTTCCAATCGAGTTCAAGGCATTTGCTACACTTGGTTTAACAGTGACAAGAGGACCGACAACTGTTGGAATGCAGTAAACGACAGCACTTTTCCTTCAGTTAGCAAACCTATATTAGGATCCAGGGCAAGGAACACACTCACAAGGCGAAATATATAGCTTGATCTCGGATAAGAACCTTGACAAGGTTGAACCCTCTGAACCCGGAAGACAGTTTCAAGTGCTCATATGCTCTCCACAATGCAAGGACAAGCAAAATAAGGCCATGTACCAGTAGCACAATCCTTTCAAAAAGTCAGTAAGGAAAACACGCCTCTTAACTGACTATGTACCGTAGAACTATTTCTAGTAGTGAATGGGTTTTATTCACGTTGCACATCATGTGGTCAGGTTTCACGTGGTGGACTAGAATATAATCAGTAGTCTACTAGGGACAGATTTCATAGACAAGTTACCAGTTATTTTCAGATTGTTATAAATCAAAATGCATAGAGCAATGACTGCCCCAGGACCAAATAGAAGTTTGAGGCAAAAATTCAACCTCCTATCTACCCAAGTTAATCATAGAATGCACAACTACAGGAAGGAAATACCTACTAGTTTGACAGAGGGCCAAAACTCGTAAAAGTATAATATCTGTTTTTCGCCCATTAACATCTAAAGGTAAACTGGAATGAAACCAATTATGTACACTCCATTGCTACAACAATAAGCGAGGCTAACTTCTAGTTAAGAAAATACAGTGAATTAAAATCAGAATGACGTACTACTAAGTGTATTTATCCAGAGAGTGACTTGACCTTAAATCAAAGTTGTGAAAATCAGGATTCAAAGTTCAATATCAACTCACATCTGGGAAGAGGGGTGATTCAAATCAATTGCAGTTCATGTATAATATAATTAGAGTAGTTTACGTTTTGAGGGAGTCTCCAAAGCTAGTATCTGATTGCAAATCATATGCAAATTACTTTCTCATCAATGGATAGATTGTACTAGTACTTAGCATGCTTACAGATAACAAAGGCAATCCCGTCCAGGAGTCCAATATAGCGGAGCTATTTATACTTAGGTGTATTCGTACAAATATTATGATGAATCCATACGAGGAAAAAGGACATGCTATTGAGATTCCATGGATTGGACTGTATCAAGTATATTAGATAAGAAGTAGTACTTCTAGGATAGAACCTACCCAGAAAAATCTGATCTTTGGACGTAAATATCTTAATAGCTGAATTGCACTATATTTGCACAACTTCTCACCTCCTTGTCTTTAGTAATAACTTCAACGTGTTTATCAGTGACCTGGCTCTTGTAGACAGATATGCTACATACCAGAATCATAAAGTAAGACAGTGAAAATCCCCAGAGTAAAACGTTGTTCGATGAGAACAGCAGACATGAGAAAAGTGACAGTCTCTGATTAGCAGGCAGGATATAAGAGCAATTCTGAAGAGTGATTGATGAGCTTTGCCTAACTAAGGTCTAGAAATAACCCTCTTCTTGAGGCCTTTATATACCTGCAGAGTAAAGGAACGAAATATATATAGTTTATCAGCGCCAACAGTGATGAAGAGTCACAAATCACCATGTGGATGTAAAACGTCTGTCAAGAGCTTTTTTCACACAGACCGTGACAGACGTGTTCAGGTTCAGCAAGTGCAGTGCTAGTATCTATCAAGGTGCAGTGGTTGTAGTTTCCATCTAGAAGACAAGGTCTGATGATATGCAATGTACAGTGGACACTTGATTGCACAGAATATATTTGGTGATGAGACATGGCACACAGTGGTACACGTCGCTGTAAATTTGATTACATTACGGGATAAAAAGAGTTTAAGTAAAGGCAGTGACGCCGATCACTACCGACTTTGGTTCATTTTTTGCGCTTGCTCTCCTTGTGTTTCCTCATTTCCATACCATTTGTCCTTAATTATTGCTTTCCACAAATGATTTACAAGCAGCTTGGGTATGGTTCGGGACGTTGGGATGCCAGGCCGTTGCTCTCTAGATCTCATAGTGCAGTTTCAGAATCCGGATCCTACAGCAAGTCTGACATAGGCCTGAACGACGTTGATAATGGAGAAGGGTATGATGATGGCGACTCTGCTTATAGCGGCGATGGGCGTCGATGAGGACTTCAATTGCGCCAATTTTATACTGACTGCCGAAGACACTGACCGACTGGAGGCCGACGTACGCGCACGCAGACTGTCGCACACGGACGGCTTTTTCTTCGGCGTGAGGATTAGTGAAGAAGAGGAAGACGACCTCCTGTTCATCACCAAGGCACGTGAAGCACTAGCGGCAGGACTGTTCGTGTTCTACAACTCTTGGTAGTAGCTCCACTTCGCGCCGATTCCAGTCGACGTGGGTTACTCGTCCACGGGTTGGATCCTCCATTGCTTCAAAATCAAAATCAAAGAAAAAGGCTCTTGCCAACGAAATAGTCCGAAGTGCTGTAGAAGGCCCCATATACCAGACAAGGGTGCAACTGAGAGCGGCGTTGTAGATAGGAACAGGAATAGCATTGGATGCAGATTGCTCAGCCGCAGAGTACTAGCTGTGATGAGCACATGACGAAACACTCGGTGATATGGATTCTGCTTTCTGCCAAGGTCAGAGAAGGTCTATAAAAACGAACTCGGGGTACGGAGCCGGACGGGTATTCTCCCGCCGATCAACGCGCAGGATCTTTATTGGTTTAAAAGAAGAAGGGGAAGAGGAGAAGCGAATGATACAGCAATGACTGGGCTCGGGACACTTCATAATATCCCGTTTGCATAGCATACAATTTCTCCTCTATAGCTAGGTCGATATAGTAAGAGATACTGTCTGAAACAGGTCAACGAATTATCGGTACTAGTTCTTTCTTTGATGAAAGTTTTTTATAACCTTGTGACCACGAGTAAATTTGCCCCGAGTAGTTCGACTTTTTCGTTCCAATCCTAAACAGAGGTATATTCCAATTCTCAAAGCGAATAATATATACATAGAGTATCTATATATATCCAATGCACGTTGCTTGTTGAAACAATCGATGCATATGTAGGTGGTGGCATATCGTTCGGGTGAATGGGGTACATTGGATGTACTCTCCAATAGAGAATGAGCATTGAAGTTGGAAGCGGATGACATTCCAGTGCTTGAGAGTACGGTCCCGTCCTTCGATGGCCTCGATTCCTCTGTATTTCTACGATACTTTCCCGCAACTGCGAGCGTTCCTGTAGGTAAAGCAAGACAGGAAACGGAGAGATCGAGGAGTCAATCGCAGGACTAGGATCTGATCCTCCTGAAAACTTGGAACGTATTCAAGTTCCTATGTCGGTACGTATTCTTCGTGAGGTTTGTCGCTTCTTTTGTACAACAACGTACGAAAGCCCTGCGACAATGAGACAGAAAGCTACACCGCCAACGACGGCACCAACAATTGTCTTTGTTTTGAATGGTTTGTACCGCCGAACGGAGGGTTCCGATTGTCTTCTGTTATATCTGGTTGAACTAATAAGTAAATAGTAGACAAGGTTCGTAAGTTAGAACACTTGAGTGATATTTATTTGTGACATCTCTATCATTAATACGAACCTTCATTTGTGATATTCTGAACTTCTATTACGCTGGATATTCCACCAGACTATGATGGTGCTTAATCGTTGACAGTAAGATGTACGATACCAGTGTCAACGTTTGAAGGAGCTTACGATCTGTTGCTGCCCAGGCAGAGATCGCAATCTGTACTGGTATCTTGGTGTCTAACGGAAAATATCTACACAATTTCTTTGTTAAACCACAAATCGCGACTAAATATTAAAGGATAACAATTTCCTAAGGGACGCACGTCTTCGACCGGGGATTTTTACAGTTCATTATTTAAAAGTTCCACTGATGCACCGGTCAGAATATTCCACAGTACGGCGATTGAAACAGAACGAATGATGCTGACGTTACTGCTTTACCATTTTGGCAAACAGCACATGCTGAGATCGGCCCAAGAGCTAAACAATAATTGTTCATAAACAAGAAATGCATGTTTATATTTGCAGAAGTCATAAAAGAACGCACCACAGACATTTATTTGCCGCCGGGGCTTGGTAAGAACCGGGTTCTGGTAATGGACCAACATTGGCGCCTTTGAACGTGTGCGTTCAACCACAAGTTATTCGTTAAGACATAAACAAGTTGAAAGGTAAAGACTCACTTCCATCACGACTGCATGGACTGCGGAGATAGGCAGCAACGAAACACGGGCTCTGACGCGGATTCAGCGAGTTGTTCATCCAGTCAAATCCACTGGAACAGTTGGCCTGTGATGTTACATCTCTTCGTTCCAACATTGATGAAGTGCTGAGGCCTTTTCGCATAATCAATCGTGGAAGCTTTGCAGCGTGGTGACACTATCGAGCTCAAGAGGTGGTCATGGCGTTGAGGTTAATCGCGGCGGAAGGTCTCTTGTTGATATCGGTTCATGCCGGATGTACATGATATCAGGTTCTAGAAAAATACCCAGGGCTGATTGTAGACACCTCGCGTACGGGCGATGCTTGAATCAAAATTGTAATCATAGCAGGCAGAGCACAGCCGTCCACACAGAGCGGAGTACAAGCTTGATGCCAAACGTTGTATGTCAAATTGGAAGACGGAAGTAGTTGTCACCCGAGCTCTTGGATCGGCCAGCATTGCACCAAAGAACTATGAAACGGGAAGAAGTGGTGTCATATATGTACACTCAATGCCCCCGTTCTAAGATAATCCGAAATCACACTGCAAAGAATTGTCATTGAAGTCCAGATTCTTTAATCAGCTTTCAGTGGGTCTTCATTAGTGCTGAGCCTGATCCATGAGAGGGGGGGGGGGCAGAATAAATGGCGATCGAAGTTATGTTGTCCATGTTTTATATCTACACATAGTTTCGACTTGACACTAAATGCTACAGACAGGAATAAGTTTTCGTATTTGTCAAGGTCTGCAAAACAAACGCACGAAAGTCATCAGTAAATACTGACATCCAGTCTATTGACAGTATTCTCAGGCCTGAGTAGGTGGTAGAATAAGAAAGAGTTGAACTTGTAGTTGCTATTCCCTCCCTGTACACCTTACTCTCCGTATTTGCCTGTACTGGATAAGCAGGGAAGCTGTAATTGGTACCTTTGGAGTTTGGAATGGTTGCTTTGAAAACAGAATATACTACAAATGCTGCAGTCGCCTTGCAAACAAAACTCCATCCATAACGATTGATCAAAGTTGTGGATTAACGGTGCTGTATAAAAAACGTCGACCAAACCAAACCTTCCACGTCCAGATCATCTTAGTCTGTCTACTTCAATAAGTCTCTAATATCCACTTCCGAATTCTAAGACATGTAATCTAGAGGAAGAAATCAGTACAACGGTCGACTAGAAACTGAACCATGTGATAAAGGGTAAGAATGGCTCAGAAAAAGAGTACAAGCAGCCATAGGGTGATTTCGACACGTCACTTCTCCATCCTTGGGATGAGGAATGGATTGACAGTCATTCAGTGGTAATACCAACTTTGCACATCATTGACAGGAGGCAGAAAGAATATGGTGGCATGGCACTTACCTTTGAAAGGGGAGGAGGAGAGGAGTTTGGATACTGATAATGGAAAATTTACCTGGTACAGTTGTACATGACAAGTGTCAGCAACAGTGTAGAGGGGACCTGAAGGCTCAGTAAGAAAGGGGAAAGAGAGGTTATGTGAGAGGCTTAGAGAGATCACACAAAGAGGGGGGATAGTGGACTCGGCTCGCTCTCTCGCAGCTTGCTTCATTGTCTGTTGATTAGTTAGTCTATATATACTATGTAGGTATGTCTCAGATGTAGAATGTATGATGGAAGGTATTCCATCATTGTTCGTCATTGCTTGTAATGTAGTTTATATCATCTGAGACATACTCTCGTGTAGTCTCATCTTAACACTCCCCTTCAAACTCTTACTAGGTCTAGTAGACTTGTAAGATGTTTGCTTGCAGTATGTATAGATAGTTTAATCATTATAACTGCATTGTACAATTGTTCGTTTGTGTAACGCATTTATAACTTGATGTAGTTAATAATAATATTATTAGCATTATAGTAATGCATTGTCCGTTCTGTGTACTGTCTGTTCCGAATGTCATCCACTTTGTGTTAAGTTTGTCTGATGTTATATTAATTAATTATATTTAATTAGTTTGTTTGTTTGTAATATACTGTTCAATAACAGCATTGTTATCACAATAGATCATTTGTAAATGTTATTAAATAATTTATAAATGCTTCAGAGACCTGCAGAATCTTGTTAGCATGTGTAGGTACGTATATGTGCATATTTAAATCATAAATGTAATTGCTTGTTTTGTTTTATTGTTTGTTATTCAGACATATTGTTTGTTATTAAGTTTGTTTGAGTACTCTAGTAATTTCCTTTTTACTTTGCTGTGAAACTAATGAATCATGCTAGTAAAATGTATATTTCATGTTGTAATAATATCCTTCTTTAATCATTACTGTCTGTGTTCGTCTACATTTGTATATGTGTTAAGCATTCAGCAATAGCTGATTTATGTCTTTGGATTGAAGCTTTGCATTGATTGTATATTGTAATATTAATAATAATATTTGTTTTTGCCAGATTGCTTCATTCCAAGATTAATGAGGTTTTATGCTAACATATATTTGTTGCATAAATGTTATGTCTGGCTGTAGGCATCTTACTATGTGTCTAGGTGCATCATATATGTATTATATCATGAATGTATTGTTTGTTTGTTTGCTTTACATTATCATTTATAGTTATGTATTAATTTATTAACATTATGTTTGTTAATTGATTGTTTCTAATGCATCCTGAGTAACTATACAATCTGTTACATTGTTTCTTTAATAGCCAACATAGTTATCTGTTGTAAATCATTACTAACATGTGTTTGTATTATTTATCATTAACAATGTTGTTGTGAATCATCACAATCATAGTATTGTGTATATATATGTGTATGTTATAGCTATTGTTCTTTGCTTTTTCTTTTTGCAAAGGATGATGTATTGTAACACAATCTGCATATAAGTGATATATCAGATTATGTTTACTATAATTGTCTCCTAGCATTCTTTAGTTAATCTAGTGCTATGTACAATTGTAGTATTTGTTTGTTGTTTTATTTGTTAATTGGTTTGCTAGGTAAAACGTTTTATATATTGGTTTTGTTTATTTTATTTGAATCATCATATAGATGTACCTATTAGTATCTATCCAATGTATTTCATAGTTTTTTAACGTTTGTCTGTAGTATGATCAGTTAATTTATTAACATTATGTTTGTTAATTGATTGTTTCTGATGCATCCTGAGTAACTATACAATCTGTTGTATTATACTTTCTGTTCTGTTGTTTATATTTAGTTATTAATTGTTTGTGCATATTATCCATTTTCTCCCCTTCAATTCAAGAAGGTATTTCTTTGAAGAATTGGATATTTCTTTAACATTTATTAATCATAATATAATATGATTAAATAAATTAATAAAATGTTTAAGCCATTATCTCAGACAGTATAATATAAAATAGGTAATAACAGATGCAACTGTACTTAATAGAACTCAGTACATTTACTAAAAGCACTACATAAATAATAATTATAATGTTATTAAATGAATATTATATGGAAACAAACAAATTACCAGTTATGAACAATTATTAATAAAAGATAACAGGCACAAACAAAACTCGTATATTATACATAATGTGTACTTATCTACTATAACAAACAAAATACACATTATATAAGTTGACGAATGTTAACAGTAACAAAGATATAATAGTAATACTACTTAAATTACTCATTATAGAACATAACAAACGTTACACAATAATTAGAAATCGAACCACAAAAGCAATTACAATTATTATATATAAATATTATATTATAACAACAATTAATAAACGTTAAAGAAATATCCAATTCTTTGAAGAAATACCTTCTTGAATTGAAGGGGAGAAAATGGATAATATGCACAAACAATTAATAACTAAATATAAACAATGGAACAGAAAGTATAATGCTACAGACACTATGAAAAATAGAATAACAAAATGTACAGACTAAGCACTGACTAAGTAATAGAAGTTACAGACAGACATAACAGATCATAAAGGTAAATCATTCAGTACAAAGCAAAATTACGTTGATCAGAACTAAATAACAGAAGTCAATACAACATACAATTGAACTTCAACATTAAATAAATAATAATTCTACTATGAAACAAATACTCATACTTGGCAAATAATATTAATATGATAATATAATTAACTTAACAGTGTTTAATACAAAAATAAATAATATACAGACAATTATCACATCATATAACAAAATAATTCATTAATTCAGACTATAGTTCATGGATAAAAGTGATGAATAACGAAAATAATACTTTAGAACGTACATAAAACAATAAATAATATATCTATATAATAATACAAATATAATTGCAATATAATTCGCAACTACACTGAACAATACACAGATAATAACTATATAAACAAGTATGGAGTGTATACATATAATTAAATAAAACTATTAAATCAATTCTTGTATGAATGATTAATTTGCCCTTACTGTACAATTAATACAAGTGTGAACAGCATTATAATGATTAATAAAACAAACACTACTCTTCCACTATTAACATTACAATAGTACAAATGATTGACACTGTTAACGAACAAACATACTATGTTATAGTATAAATCAAATAATAACACATATAGTAATATCACAGTCAAACGATTAATGCTCAAAACAAGTACATATATGCTAAACAGTATATTAAATCAAATAAATAAAACATTTAACATGTATTATAAACAATAATACAATTGCAGACACTATAATAACAATAATAATGATAATAATACAGATAGAACTAATGGAACAAATACAGAACAATATAATAACTAACACATATCATGGTTGAGCAATTATATGTAACATATCAGATTCAGTAGTTACATGTTGGATATTGTGATTACTTATCAGATAGCAAATATAATATGCATATCTAAGATATACAGATGAGTACAGATATACAAAAGTATAATTAATAACTACAAACCAAAAAACAATGCTACAGAGTGTATAAACTAACTATACACAAAAGAATAATGTTATAATGCATAAATACTGATTACAGTACAAGACAAGTGCAAAAATTATAATTATTAAACAAATGATACTACTTTACACATTAATACAATTGTGTAAATGTATACTAACAACAAACGAAAGAATTATATCTCTAATATGGAAACACATCAATACAACTTAATTACACAAAACGTGTTATTACAGTAGCTGATTATATAATAAATTTTGAAGTTGTAACAGTAACATCAACTGCACAGCATATATACCTTAACAAACGATTATTAAATTTACATTGTGACAATGTAGCTTGTAGAAGCAAAGTATTAAGCTAATAAGTAAATAATTACGATCAAAAACAATCATAATATAATATGATTAAATAAATTAATAAAATGAATGCTACAAACCTCCTACTGAAGCTATGAAGCTTGCACACACCAAACATCAGGCTAACATTGTGTATAAAACAAATCAAACTGTAGAAAACATGACAAACACATTTATTATTGAAAACCCAAACGAAAACAATGTTGAATTAAAGGAAAGCAATGTTGAAATGAATGATAACACCTACACTCTTATTCCAAGCAACCAGGACAAACAATTCGAACAATATGCTTCCTAGGTATG